ATGATGATGATGATGCTGATGATGATGACGATGACGATGTGGTTGTTGCTGATGATGCTGATGATGATGATGCTGACGACGGTGATGATGATAGTGCTGATGCTGATGATGATGCTGATGCTGATGATGATCATGCTGAGGAGGAGGAGGAGAAGGAGATGGAGGGGAATAGGAGGAGAAGGATGAGAAGGAGGAGGAGGACGAGAAGTCCTCATAGATTTCGTGGTTTCGTTTGCGCCAAACGTGGGACTGCCTTGGACTCCTGTTGGGCAGCCTTTGGGATCCATTGGCGCACTCGTGGGGCCCTCTGGGACCGTCTTGAGGTGTTCTTGGCCTCCTTGGAGTCCTCTTGGTTGTCGTGGGCCGGTTAGGGGCCTTGTTGGGCCGTTCTGAAGCTATTTGGGGGGGGGCTCAGAATTAGCAGCACAAACGCGCGCAAGCGCTGGAGACGCGCGCACGACGCATGCCTGAAGCGAAACACTGACGGGATCGAACATCGAGCCCGTCAGATTCAGCAGCACAAATGCGCGCAAGCGCCAGAAACGCATGCGCGCCGCATTTCTGCAGCGAAAAATTGACGGGCTCGAGAATTGAGCCTGTAAGAAAGCGCTGGAAATGCGCGCGCGACACGCACTTGCTTGAAGCCAAGCACTGACGAGCTCGAGAATTGAGCTAGTCAGCATTAGCAACACAAATGTGCGCAAGCGCCAGAAGCACGCCTGAAGCGAGACGCACGCCTGAAGCGAAAAACGCCTGAAGTCTGGCGCCCAATTCAAAAGAGAATTGGGCGCCAGACTTCAGTTCTTTTTCCTCGGGACGGTGCTGTTCCTCGCCGCCGGCAGCCCCCGTCCCGACAAAACCACGGTTTCCGCTCCATGTTTTCTCCTTTCTTATTTAAGGTGGTGTTCCTCCTCGCCGCCGGAAGCCGCCGTCCAAACAAAACCAGCGCTCCCGCTCGAGACTTCGTTTTGTTTTACGCTGGACTAGCGGCCTACTCTCTTCAGCATTGGCACCCTTCCCAGCAACAGCAGCAGCCCTGCTCGAGACTTCCTCCCTTTCTATTCAGGGCCAGGTCCTTGCCTCACCGCCGACAGCCCCCATTCCCACCAAGGCAATCCTGTCGTTCAATACTTCCTTGTGCTTTACCCTTCGCTGGGGCTCCACTGGCGGTCTCGCATCGGTGCAGCAAGGCGTGGGCATGTGTTTTCGAGGCGGGATATGTTGAAATTCCTTGGAGGAGGAGTTTGCAAGACCTCATTGGGCGGGAAATCTGGGAATGGGAACAATAATCCACCATGGTGTGGATGGTTATCATGATGGTCGCATGCTTCGTGTGGAAACATCACGCATGAGGGTTGTTGTTGAACTCTCACTTCTGAAGAATAATTATTGTTGATCCCCCCCGTCCGGTGCGCATTGTTTTTTGAATGAAGTGCCCTTCCCTGGGTTCGCACCCTGTTTTTCAGTAGGGAAATTCTTGAGGGTCAAACTGTGTCGTTGGCCCCCGGTTTACAACAACAGCAGCTCCCGCCTGATACGTCCTCACAGTTTATTGAAGAATCGCGTTCTCGCTTAGGTCTTCCTTGCAATTTACCACTGGATCGCGGCTGCCGCTTGCAATGTATTGAAGAATCGCGCTCTCGCATGGAACTTCTCGCGAGCTACCACCGAATCGGGGCTCCCGCCTGATACTTCCTCACAATTTATTCCGATGCCGCCCCACGACACTCAGGAATCGCGCTCCCGCTGCATATTGCCGGGCGGTTCAAGTAGAAGTTCCGCTTCAACGACGCGCCCGCTCGACCCGCCTGTGTGGGCTTGCCCGCCCGACCAGCCTTATAGATACTGCAGTCGCCGCTCGCTGCTCTTCGCCCGCCTTCGATGCCCCTCGCTGCCCGTACTGGTTTCGCGGTCGCCTTCGCTCGTTGCCCTTCGTGGCCCCGTTGCTGCCCTCAGTGGCCCCGTCGCTGCCCATGGTGGCCCCGCATTATATGCCCTTTTCGTGGCCCCCGCTCGCAGTCGCCCGTCGTGGCCCCCTTACGCATGCCCTGCGTAGTCCCGCTGTCGCCCGTCGTGGCCCTCTCGCTGACCTTCGTGGCCCCTTCGCTGCCCTCAGTGGCCCCGCTGTCGCCCTGTGTGGCCCCATATATGTATGCCCTTCGCGGCCCCCGCTCGTTCGCGCCCGTCATGGCCCCATATGCATGCCCTTCGTGGCCCCGCCGTCGCCCTTCGTGGCCCCCTCTCTGCCCTTCGTGGCACCGTTTCTGCCCTCAGCGGCCCCGTCGCTGCCCTCTGTGGCCCCGGATTAATTGCCCTTCGTGGCCCCCGCTCGCTCGCGCCTTTCGTGGTCCCATACGCATGCGTTTCGTTGCCCCGCTGTCGCCATTCGTGGCCCCCTCGCTGCCCTTCGTGGCCCATTTTTTTGCGCTCAGTGGCCCCAGTGTCGCCCTTTCTGGCCCCGTATATGTATGCCCTTCGTGGCCCCCGCTCGTTCGCGCCCGCCGTGGTCCGCGCCAACAACGGTTCCCGCTTGATATTTCCTTACAGTTGATTGCAGAATCGCGCTCTCGCTTGGGCTGCCTTGCAATTTACACCCAATCGCGGCTCCCGCCTGATAGTTCTTCACAGTTGATTGGAGATTCGCGCTCTCGCTTCGGATTTTTTTTGCACCGATACGCATGCCCTTCGTAGCCCCGCTGTCGCCCTTCGTGGCCCTCTCGCTGCCCTTCGTGGCCCCTTTGCTGCCGTCAGTGGCCCCGCTGTCGCCCTTTTGTGGCCCCATAAACGAATGCCCTACGTCGCCCCCGCTCGTTCGCCCGTCGTGGCCCCATATGCATGCCCTTCGAAGTCCCCCTGTCGCCCTTTGTGGTTGGCGCAAGCCGTGGCGCAAGCTGAATCGCCACTCGCAGCGCAAATCATCTTCCTCCCTCCTTCTTGCCTCTCCCCTCCCTTCCTCCGATCCCTTCGTCCTCATTTCCCCCCGTTATCTGTTACCCTTTGTTTCCAAGGGTTTCACCAAACACGCGAGGCAGGGAATGAATATACCCCCCAAAAGGGGTTTACGATTGAAGACGAAGAGGGCGGGTATCCAGGGTTTGGGATATGTAGTCTGAATGACCCGCGAGCAGATAAGAGCGAACAGTTTTTCAAGTATTGTTGAATTCTCAGTTCTAAAGAATAATTATTGTTGATCCCCCCCGTCCGGCACACATTGTTTTTACGATTGAAGTGCCCTTCCTGGGGCTCGCACCCTGTTTTTTATCAGGGGAAATCTTGAGGGTCAAACTGTGTCGTCGGCCCCCGGCTTACAACAACAGCGGTTCCCGCCTGAGACATTTTCACTCTCGCTTTAACCGTCCTTACAATGTACCACCGGATCGCGGTTCCCGCTTCATATTTCCTTGCAATGTATTGATGGCTCGCGCTCTCACTTGGGGTTTTCGCGCTCCTTTCGACACGGTTGCCGTTCTTACTATCCTTCCGCCCCTCTTTCCCTACATTCCGCTTCTTTTCAGGGTTCCAAGAAATGCGTTTCTGACGCCAGTTCCCCGCGTTGGGGTATCCACGTTTTTTTTTGTTTCTTTCAATGGGGTGGTACGTGTCGCTGTTCATGGCGCGACCCATGGCGAAATTTATTGTTAGCCTGTGTTGGAGTGGTTGGCGCAAGCCGAATCGCCACCCGCAGCGCAAATAATCGTCCTCCCTCCTCCTTGCCCCTCCCCTCCCTTCCTCCGATCCGTTCGACCCCGCTCCCCCCCGTTATCTGTTATCTTTTGCTTTCAAAGGTTTCACCAACCACGCGTGGCAGGGAATGAGTACACCCCCCAAGAAGGGGGTAAGATCGAAGACGAAGAGGGCGGGCATCCAGGGTTTGGGACATGCATATTGAATGACGCGCGGGCACATAAGAGCGAACAGTGTTAAAATGATTGTCGTTGTCGATGCGTTTGTCTTTGTTGTGGTTCGCTGATGTTGGCGTCGTTGTGGTTGTGGCTGTTCTTGTTGGTGTTGTTGATGCTGCTATTGTTGTTGAGTTGTCATTCCCGGGGAAACACGATGTTTGATCCCCACATAGAGATGTACGCGTTTTTCAATTGAAGTGCCCCCCTCTGGGGCTCTTTCTTTCGTGCTCCATCCTCCTCCATCCCCCATGCCCGTTTCTTCCATCCGTCCTCTCGTCCACTGCCGTAGGGGCTGCATGAAATTATCGTTGCAGGTGAGAAATATGTACTTCAGCAAGGGGATACAATCGAAGACGACAGCGGCGGGTATCGAAGGGTTGGGGTATACGTGTTGAGCGGCACGCGAGCAGGCACGCGAGCAGATAAGAGCGAACAGTCTCAAACTGATTGTTGTTGTCGTCGTTGTTTTTGTTGCTGTTGTTGCTGTTGTTTTTGTTGCTGTTGTCGTTGTTGCTGATGTTGTGTTGTGTTTTGTTATTGTTTCTGCATGCTCTGAGTCTTCGGGGGCTGGGTTGCCCAGGTCGCCGGGCCCGAGGGTCGATCTGTGAGGACGATCGGCCTAACCTCGTACGAGCCACTGAGTCCATAGCGGCACTCGCCGAAGCCCCGGCGCCCGTGGTGGCAGTTTTCGCCCCTCTCGTTGTCCCTTGTGCCTCTTCTTTCCTCGTGCCCACCATCTCCTGTTTGGTGCGCTGCTGTGCACGCGCCGTGGTCGCCATCGCTCGTGCGCGGTGGCGTGAGCCGTGCGGCTCGTCTGTGTTGCTATCCACTGCGATCGTGGGTTTCTCTGTCAACACCCAGAAGGCTGGCCCACTTTTTGGAATTTACGTGTGCTGCTCTCGACTGGATGTACACCACAAGATTCCCATTATGACCCTGCCCTGACCCCTCCTACGTACCTCTTGCCCCCCCCTCTCCACTTCCATGCTTCGTTCGCCTCCCTATGCCCTGGTCTCCCTCCTCCCACCTCCTCTCTCCTCCGAATCCGTGTTCGCCCATCCGCGTTACTACAATGCTTAAAAAACATGTTGTTATCAGATCTTCAACATGAGCGACGCAGAGTCACTTCCAGCGGCGGGATGGGATTGTTGATATGCACGCTAGGGATCTCCGGTATGATGGTATCAACATGCTCATAATCGTTCGGGCAAGTTAGTATGAGCAGGGAGTCGACCACGGGCGATATGCCAGCAATAGCATTCGCAAGCGATAGCGAATTTGCGTGCGCTTCATCCACAAAAGGGTTCAGCCGGAGACAGAAGGAACGACTATCGATGGCGAGGGAAGAGTTCCAGCGGTATATCGAAAAGAAGGGTTCGCTTTTTGGACCGCATCCTTATTGTGGGTTTGTTGAGAGGCGGGGCAGAGTCCTTTTGACCCGATTATCATTCGTTGGTGATTCTGAGAAGTGAGAGCATCTGTGTGTTCCCCTTGTTGGCAATCGACTGGTGGTTCTGCCGCTAGACGGTCGTGGACGCGACCCTTTGGCCTGTTGCCGGACAGCGCTTGGGTGTGTGTCGAAGCGCGGGGCCGTTGGCGCCTTCGTGTCGACGGGCGGCGGGTACCGCGGCCACGGTGACGCTGACGGGTGTTCCCGTTCTGGTGTTGCCGTCCCTTGGTGATTGTCGGCCGTGCGCCGAAATGGAGCGAGCGCCCTGGAAGACCGACTGCCTTCTACAGGGCTTCTTCAAAAGCCCCAGAGGGTCTCTAGGAGTGCGAGCGGGTTTCCGAGAGTCCCCTTTTGAGAGGCCCCCATTCAGCGGGCGGGTTTTGAAGAGTTCGGCTGAAAATCTTGGGAGGTCGACCTCCGCATCGTCGGTGGTATAACTCGAGTAGGGGATCGACTGCATTATTTGTTTACCCCAAGAATTATGTTCTCGTCAAGTGTACGGGGAATACGGAGGATGCTCGTAGAGCATTCCACGCATTTTTCGCATATAGTCCGCCGTGCTGTGCGTGGCGTGCGTGCGAGGCTGGGTGCTGCGGTCGTCGGTATCCCCAGAGGGAGACCCCCGGGCTGAAATATTGATCTGGGCCTCCGAAAATGGGGTTCATAATTGATGGGGCTGGCGGGTCGCTCCCCATCGCCGATGCATCGGCGGTGCGGCGCGAGCCCGAGGCTGGTTGCCTTGGTCCCGACGTCGCCAGTGCATCGGCGATGCATTGGCGATGCTGTGCGATCCTCCGACCTCATCTGCTCGGACACCATTCGGGAGGCCTCTAGGGTCGGGTCTTATTTTTGTCCTGGAACACTTCTGTCTGGCACACAGGTTGTAGCAATGATTGCATTGATTTTTGCATACACATCGTCAGTAGTGTGCTTGGCTCTGAAAATCACAAGATCTCGGTTTGCCATCCCACAAAAATAACAAATTCTAGACGCTTCGCGTATCCCCACCAGTTTGTCCGCCGACACTGGCGGCCTGCTCGCAAATTCGTTTCGTTCCGCCACCCGGGCGCCGCTTTCGCTCCTAGACCGTCGCTTGGGAACCGCTGACCAAAAAAGTATCCGCACCAGTCGCCGGCCTGGCCGCTGAGGTGCTGCGTGAGGCTCAGGTTCACCGCTTTAGGTTAATTCGTCTTTGCGCGCCCCTCTCTGACTGGACTCGCCGCTGGCGCGCTCGCCTGCGGCCGCTGACTAAAAAGTATCCCCACCAGTGTTCCCTCTGCAATCGGCAAACCAGTGGCCGTTCACCACTCCCTGGTAACGCCTTCTGCCCAGCTCCCCCTGCCCCCCGCCTTTGGGATACTGGCAGCGGCCAGCTGACAATACTAGCACGTGGACTGCCGCTGGGGCCGTGGTCCACCTGTCTTAGTTGGCCCCTGGCCCTGCTGTAGCTGGTTACACCACAGTCGGCGCGCTCCACTCCCCGCGCCCCGTGGCACCCACCGTGCTGAGGCGGCTCTCCCCCCGCGGTTGGGCTACCTTGCCCCGCCCCTCCCTGGTCCCCCCCCCGCTCCGGCGGCTGGGCGTCGCAGCGACTCCGTCAGCCCCGGCCCCCTTCCCCCCGCTCCAGCGGCTCTTCCCCGTCCTGGGGCGCTTGGGGCTCCCGAGTGCACGTGGTTCAGCCTGCGCGCTCCTGGCTGTCGGCCGACCGTGTTGATTTGTTCCACGGTCCCTGGCGGCGACGCCCACGGCATCTTCTTGCTTCTTCTGTCCGAGGTTGAGGCGTGGATCTTCTTTGTCCAGGCAGCCCGCAGTCGTCGGTTCCAGCTCGAGAGTGCGCGTGGCACTACCTGGTCCGATGGTTCAGGGGCTTACGGTGTCGAGCGCGCCCATCGTTCCCATGGCTACTTCGCCCGTCCCTGGGGCCTTCCGTGGACGGACGTTCGCAGGATCAGTACTTCCTTCAAGGGACCTGGAGTGCGACTGCGGTGGCGCCACCCAGTGCACCAGTGTGGACCATTTTGAGCACCCATGGCCGTCGTCGCAGTGTACAGACTAGCCGCCTCCCTGGACACATCCTGGTACGACGCTCGCGCCATTTTGGCTGCGCCCCAACCTTGGTTGGCTAATTTGCATGTGCCCGCCTTGGAACAGATCCCTGGCAGCTGCAGCCTGCACCCCCCCTCTCGCTGGCCCGCCCGCCTAGGCGCTGCCCGAGGTCGCCGGACCGTCGGCGTTATGTAATTCGGCTCTTGCGCGGCCCGCTCGGACCTGACTCGCCGCTGGCGCTCTCCCCCACCAGCCCATCCAGAAACGATGTCCAGGCGAGTTGAGAGGTGATCAGGAAAGCGCGGGAGCAAAGAGGGGGACGGCCGAACAGCGTGAAGGAGAGCGAGGGCGAAAGAGAGAATTTGATGGATGGATGGAAGAGTAGGGAGAAGGAGGAGTAATAGGATGAGGAAGAGGAGGAGGTGGAGGGGGAAAAGGAGGATGAGAAGGGATAGGAGGAGGAAGGAGGAGGAAAGCAAGCAAAAGGGCCAGAGGTCTCTTGGATGATTTTCGGAGCCTCTTGGGGTATCTCTTGTGCGTCTTGGGACGTCTTGGGGGTCTCTTGGCGGTCGTGGGGGGCTCTTCGTGCGTCTTGGGTGCCTCGGGGGGGCCTTTTGGGGCCGCTTGGGATCCTTTTCGGTGCCTCTTGGGGGCCTTGTGGGGGCCTCTTGGGGGCCTCTTGGGGCCATTTTGGGGCCATCTTGGGACCTCGTGGGGCCTCCTGGGCGCTTCTTGGGGCCATCTTGGAGGAGATCGATCAAACCAGAGGGGCAAATTACTTAGGGCCCCCCCCCATCAGGAGGCCCAAATGGGGCCAAAACCCCAGTCAAACTATTAATTTTAGCTTTCTCGCCGAGGCCGTTTTTGGACGCTCCGACGACTCGCGGAACCCCTCGTCCAGGTCCAGGGGAGGGGGTAGGGGAAGGGGTAAACCATTCCCCGAAGGGGAAGGAGGGGTGGAAGAGGAAACTCCTTAAACCACCGACGCCCAGAGGGCTGGTGGGATTTACATCGCCGCGCGCCCAGCCTGATTGTCTGACGTTGACCGGTAGATGTAAATAGGAGGAGCCCTCGTGCCACCCCGCCCGATGGCCGGGTTTGCCCAGCCAGCGCTCGGCAAACGGACCCCCAACGCGATTCTTCTGCCCCCATACCACCTGCGCGGGACAGGTCAGTCCATTCTTGCCCCCCACGCGATTCACCCGCCACGCTTTCCTGCTGCTCGTGTAACGCCCTCCGTGCGGGCGGCAGCGTATAGTTCCTCGCACCGGTACTGTCATCTTTTCAAGAGACTTACTCCATGTAGTTGGCCTGGTGAGAAAAGACCACAGCGATTGCAAACGCCAACTATACGCTACAATTGTTGCAAGCGGCGCGGGTCGAAGGTCTGCGAAGTTCCCATTCGTGTTTCGTTTATGTCGTAGAGGATGACGTTTAGAACGTGTGGAAAGAGCAGGTACCTGACACATTGGATGGCCTTGTGTTTCGCCAGCGTACGACGTTCGCCGTGGTAATGGGTTTAGCCAGCGTGTTTCACCAGCTTACGGCGTTAGCCGTGGTAGTGGGTTTCGCCAGCGGGTTTCGCCAGCGTGTTTCGCCAGCGTGCGGCGTTCGCCGGAGTATTGCGGATCCGTCTGTGTTTCGCCAGCGTGCGGCGTTCGCCTTGGTAGTCGGTTGTCCAACGTGTACATGCTGCCAGTCTCTCGGGAACAGGAGAGGAATAAGACAAGGAGGAGGAGGGGCAGGAGGAGGATAGGAATCGGTGGAGGAAGAATACGACGACGTGGCCCTGTGGAGGTATCTTGTGGTCTGTCGCGAGGTCTCTTGGGTTGCTTTTCGGGGGTCTACGGGAGCCTCTGGGAAGCCATGGGAGGTTTCCTCGGGGTCATTTGGGTCTTCGGGGCGCTCGGTGGGGTCCTGGGGGCCACTTTGGGGATTATCCAAGGCACGTTGAAAGCCCTTGGGCCATCTGAAGGTTAGGGCCCCCCACACTCCCAGGCCTCTTCTGTTTCTGCAAGCCTCTTAGACCGTTTTGATCGATCGTTGGGCTATGTTGGTCCCCTTTTGGGCAGCTTGTGGGACGTTTCTGGAGCTTGATGCGCCGTCTAAGGCTGGTTTGGATGGCCCCTTGTGCAGTCCTTGAGTTTCAGCAGCTTGACAACGTGAGAGCGCGAACATCCCTCAAGCACTCAATGGAGTTCGTCTTGCTTGTCTCTCGAAGCCATCTTTAGTTTTTCTTTGGCTCTTTTAAGGTGCTGTGGGGGGCGAGTGGGGCGTCTTGACGCTATCTTGGAGCGCTGCTTGGGCCTTCTTAGAACGCATCTTGGAAATCTTGGACGCGCCCGAGGATTGATTTCAAGGCTCTGAAAGGCGCCAGGGGTGCGCTCATGACCTCCCCTGGTCCTGCCCCTTCCCCCTTTCCCCCTCAAACGCGATCCCTGTGGATGGGGAAACGGGGAGGGGGACAGCCAAATGTTTCAGAAGCCTTGTCGCCCCTGGCGAGCGAGGGTCGGTGGATTCCCCAGATAGAGCGTACACCGAGGGCATCGTTCTTGATCTTTTCGGTTGGTGTTTCATGGTCGATGTCCTGTTGGCTCTTCGTGTCCGACTCAGGTTCCCACCTGCCGACTCTGTGTCC